TTTCAAAATTGTGAGTTTCCCCCCAAAATCCCCCATTTTGGGTTTGCGAACCAAGTAGCAATTAGGCTCAAAAAGTACTTCATAACATGCCATAAAGGTGTGCAGAGTTTAGTTTTTCTACTGTGAGCCATTACAAAATTTACAGGGGTTCTCCTGACTTGGAAAGCTGTAAGTTGAATTTTACTTCTTAGAATTTCAATTGGCTGCCATTTTTTACTGGATTGAGATAGAGACCTCCAGTTTACGTTGTCGGTTCTCTTTTATCAGGACCTTCAAAAAGAGGGGTCACTCGATGGGTTTTACCATTTGAAACTTTTGTGTTTCCTCCCAAATCCCCCATTTTGGGGATGTACACCACATGGCGGTAATACTCAAAAAGTACTTCATAACATGCCATAAAGGTGTGCCGAGTTTAGTTTCCTAGTGTGGGCCGTTAAAAATCAACAGGGGGTCTCCAGACTTTTTACTAACCCTGTATGTAAAAATATAATTATAAGGGATTTGTTTTTCTAAAATATTAGGCTAAAATAAAAATTATTTCAGTAACATCTATAAAACAGTAACATGTGTCAACGTTAACAATACAAGAATAATGTTACTACACATTTTGAACTCGGGAAAGAATATTGAAAATTTCATTTTCAAGATAAAACCCTAAGTTATTTTACTGACCATTTAGTTGGATGTTTGAAAATCTCCTACAACTCCATCCATATATGTTTATTTTCCCTTATTATGAAACCTTATCACGTAAATGTAAAACATGCCAATTTTGGATGTTGTAAATTCAGCAAGTACATAGTAAGAATACTGTTAAGACAAAGCATATAGAGAATATACAAAACATTATATTTTACAACTTTAAAATAGCTTCTAAAAGTTTCATTATTTGCGATTTGGGAAATACAGAATAGAGTTGCATTCAACCATTCATAAGTGCACTAAAATAAGCTTTATATGGAGGTAGATCTCTTATACAAAGACAGATGTAGTATAATGCCTTTTGTGTTTTCACGTTGTTGTGGAGCTTCCACTCAAGATTTGCTCCGAAGCACCGGGCTCATTGGTGTTAGGCAGGATTTGAACGCGTGCCTCTGCAGCGAGTGCACTCACTATATCAGCCTGCCTCAAAAAAGGTAGATCTATTTACCTAATAATCCATAGAAATCTTACCTCAAAACAAATCTTATAACTATATTTCCACCTCAGTGTACCAAACAAACAAACCACTCTATTCAACAACCCAGACAGAATTGATCGCAGTTAGTTATTTTTGGAAGGAGTCCAGGAAAACGTCTCCCAATAACGATTCAGATATGCAAGGGCGGCACCCGGGGCTGTAAATATAACAAACAATATCACAATATCACAATATCTGCAGCGGCCCACAATATCGGGGATCAACATCACTGTTTGTTTGACACAGCGGTGGTGTTTTGTCCATCACCTGTAAATTAACCGGGGACAAAAATGTTACGTTTGTCAACTAATGGAATTGCGTTTTCATTAATTAAATTAAAACGAAATGTTTGCAAATTGGATTTTTTGCAAGGCTTCGAGTGATTCTTGTAAACTAGTCGACAATTCCAATCGAGTACTAAATAATATATTATATTCACTTAGTATTGAGGCTTATTTGTTACTCGAACTCATTTTTGACAATTTATTTTTTTACCGTGATACTTCGGATTGTATATCTCCAAAAGAAGCTATATTTTTATCGCTTGAATAATTAAGGGGTTGGCGTTTTACGAAGAATGGTTGAGATAATCGTTTATAGTAGGTATAAATAATTCTAGGAATATATCAACATCGAGAAGAAATATCTACCTGGATGAGTAATTTCATACCATATACTAAATATAAAACATAATAAAACATAGATAAAACATAATTTGCATCCTACATAATCATTTAGATTAATGAATAAAAAAAATTTAATTATTCACATTCCCAAGAAAATTAACTTAAAACTCACAAATGTCACAAAATCTTCGAGATCTAAAGTAATCTATACACACTTATAAAACAAGTATTACAAACTTATTTCACAAAATAAAACAAGTTTATTTAGTTAACTACTTTATTAGTGTACTACTAATTTATTAGTTAACTACTTTTAACAAAATAATATACAGTAAATCAATCGAATGAGCAATAGGGTATGAACAGCGCGCATAATGCTTTACCGAATCAAGCAAGCTCAGTTTAATAATGCAGTACAATAAGATTTATAACACAATACGATCAGCATATATCATCGCAGAACAGCGTTTGAGCTCTGTTTGAAAGGTTTTGTTTGCTGGCTGTTTTGACTGTGGAGAATAATAGCGTCTCTTTGCACTTCCAAAAATATTGTAAAATGCTATTTGTATTGTTGGAAAATAGGAAACCCCGTATAACAATTCCTACAATTTAAAAAAACGGACACACAATATTGGTATTAAACATTTATTTAGCTAACCAAGGATTAAGATACAGCAGGCAGATCTATTTCAAGTTCTAAGAAATTATCATTACATCTCTAATCCGAGCAAAGAACGGGCACATCACATATTTATAAGATATATCTTTTAAAATATATCTTTTAACGTTTTATTGAAAATCAAGGTTTTTAATAAATTGTTTTAGTGTTACAGATTGTAAGTTAATGTAGTTAAATATAAGACTGAACTGCAATCGTTAATTCGTTAGGACCACGGCCATTTTGAAAGTGGCCCTCTAATGGTTCAATTTTGAAATGTACCACAGTTTCCTCTGTTTGTAGGGCCAGCTTCAGGTACATATGTAGAGTTTATCAGTTAGTAGTTAATATCGTCAGAAGTACACGTTACAACATGTTAACTACTGATCAACTCTACACTATGTACCTGAAGCTGACGACGGTGTTTTAACACCGAAACATGTCCTGAATTGACATATTTGATTGAGATGTGACGGGATTACGTAAGTAATTTAGTCTTACATTGTGTCAATCAGTCAAGGGGCTACACACTTGGATTTTAGTACAAAATACGATGAATTGTCTATCTAACATTGATGGGGATGTTAATTTATATTTAAAAAATCTGACGATTGTATATATCATCATACAACATTATAGATCATCATTGGTGTAAAATAAAATGAAGCCGTACCAAACATTAATGGAAAAAGTAAAATATGCCCTATTTGAAATTTTTGGTCAAAGCTGTCCATTGGGATGGCCACTTCAGTATACAAAAGACAATGAATTGTCTATCTATCATTGTTGTATAAAACATTATTTGATGACTTTATAACCCATATATTCTATGCAGATTTCACACGCGGTCTATTTTCCTTTTGCAACAGTTGTAATATAGAAAAAAACCTGTATGAAAACTTGTCTGATGTCATATTACATTACAGCCCGCTTGAAGCTTACACTTTGACGCCGTGTAAAAGAGTTTCCTACAGTCAACACCGTCCCTCCCCTGAAGTAATTAGTAGCCTTGTAGTTAGTTGTAAGCGTTGAGCAAATTATATTCGTTTGTTCTTTTGTCACGAGTCTAGAGAGATTTCATTATCAGAATTTGTCCCTGCGAGTTTGTCATGTAAATTACAGATGCAAAAGGCATAGCAGTTTATTTGACGCGTTTCGCATTCAGTCACTTTACTATTCTGTTGAATTATTATTGTTAGTAATAGCTTGCACGTTGTTTTACCAAACTTCAACTAAATGAATGATAATGTACGAAATTAATTTTTTTGTCTTTCCACGCCATTGTCACGTTTTGAAAGGGAACGTTTCCAACTCTGGTCTTGTTACTATCTAACGTCTACCTTTTTGTTAGATAGCAACATTAATAGACAATCAAATGACAAATAACATTAATTGAGTCCATTAACAATCTCGCTTGGAATCGAACCAGTGACCTTGAGATTTGAAGGCGAGCACTAAAACCACTCGGCCAAGCAGACAGTTCTGCATTGTTAAAATAACCATTATTTGTACAGTATTTAGTTTAATTTATGTGCATAGTAATATTTTTTTCATTTTCATTTTTCACACTATATTTAAATTTATTGATTGCTATGCATGAATGAGTAAATATTTCAGTACTTGTAGTTCATTCATATTTCTTTATCAATGTAGCATTGGTTTGTTAAAGACTAGCCCTAAAATTAATTATCAATTAAGTTAATGAATGGATTAAAAATTTTGAGTATTTTGATACCTTAACGTGGGCTGTTTTCTAAATACTAGTAATTATTCGCAGTAGGTATATGCTTACAATAAAGAAAAACTACGAAATTTTGTAACATATATATTAACAAACGCAACTGTCAAAATTGAGTAAATATAAGCTTATCTTTTTACTCTATTGCATCGATTTTAGCACATTCCAATACATAAACATGTCATGAAGCGCAACTGACGAATAATATGTTTTTCGTTATGATTTGGAGTGAAAACTAATGGGTTTCAATGGGGTTTTCGTTATTTGATTTGGATGACAGTAAGCACGAATATATACTATTATTGTGAAAAGTGTTGCTTACTTATTGTCAAATGGTTTACCAATAATTTTGATGAGATGGTACCAACCATTTTGCTTAAACTAGTTTATGAGTGCTATCTGTGTTCATCCTAATCAGGTATTTACACAATGTTCATATTTTTTAAAGTATTACTTACTCATTCTCATATATTGATAACATTTTGGTTGAACCGAATATGTTTACTCAGAATTGATTTCCTTCTCCTGGACCTTAATTTATATTCAAAGACAATATTCGTTACATCGAATCAACCTTTGCAGTAGTCATACTACATGTTTCGCAGCGACTTCCACATCTTCTGGTGAATCCTCCTGCACGATTGATCACATGAAGATGAGAGGATACACCTTGAAATATGTCGTGTGCGACAACTTCAAAGGATAATTCGAGGTAACGAATATTTTAACAATAATTTTTAGGTTTTTGAGGCTCTACAACAAAAATAAACACAGTTGATGATATTAGGTGGTTCTTACCGCAACAATGGGCTGGGAAGGTACAATGCGCATAGTCTCAGCTAACTAGGACATGCTCGCTCACCACACCTGTAACAAGACCGAACGTTGAGGGAGGAGCTCTTATATCCAGCAGGGAGGAGCACGGGGCGCAGGCCTAGCCTGGGGTGCTCATCAAACTGCAACTGTAAATAAACAATTAAATTTAGTCTCAACTCTTGTTCACTTCGATCGTAATTTCTTTTCGTTGTTTTTGTCTGACTGAAAAAAAACATTCAGCAGTAAAGGCGCTGAGGGCTGGGTGGTGGGTTGTGAACGGAACAAGGCAGATCAACCAGTCATTGAATAAGTACAATGTACATGCAAAATACATACAAAATGAGAAGTATACTAAAAATATACCACAACCATTCATTACACCTCATTCACCTTCTTTACAATACCTTTTACTAAATTTATATAAATAAAAATGAACCCCTTATTTTAAAACTTTTTGGTATTCCATAACTCGAGAACGAGTACACCGAATTGGATGATTCTTTTTTCGTTGTGTTCCTTAGTACCAGGGGAAGCCTTTTATGTAAGGACGTATTATGGGCTTTTAAGGATTTTATTTGTGTTCCAGGAAATTGAAATATTTGAATCCAACCTCTAGTTTAATTAGCCAACAAGTTGAAACTGTTACTCGACTAAACATTAATACAGTTTTATGTAATTGCTTAGTGTGAAATATTTTTTCCAAATTTGATCACAATAAAACTACATAAGTTTATTTATTTTCTATAAAAATAACATAGTACTTTTACATTTTCAGTTTTTTGAAATGTTCTCAGTAGCCAGGAGATGTGCAGCAAATCTTCAATATACTAAATTTTGCGTTTTCCAAACTTTAAATGTAATTCAGAAAGACATTAAAAATTTTTATGTTTTGGGGGTAAAAAATGGGGAAACCTAAAATCTGCTAAACTAACACTATACATCGGTAAAGTACTAACTTATTGGACGGTACTCAATATACGTTGGAATTTCCATTGAATCAGGTCAAATAGAAGATTATCAGTCAAGTCCACTATAGCCGTGAGCCGTGTAATGTGCTGAGGAGTTAAGAATCAATCCAGTACCACGATGCGCCATTGTCCATTGAATTCCACACAATAGAGGCCTTCTCTAGTATCTGGTTAATCGCGTTGACCATTCAACGAATTTCATACCAAACGGTGTTTCCTAATTGAAAATTTCGTCTGTTTAATTCTCTCCTACATAGATTGGACGCGATTTGCGTTTGCACATTTGGTTTTATTGACTCTATTTTATAAGTTTAGAGGATTTATCTAAGTAATTAGCTGGTCACCAATGTGATCCTGTGAAGGACCATTATCTTTTTGATGGTTATAAACTGGACCCGTCTCTTCCCGATCATCTAGTTGTTAATACATCCATTTTTAACAGATATTATTTATTTTTTCTTTAACCTTATATAATTGAATGAACGAAGTGAATTCTCATACTGGTGTAAAATGCATCTCATGTAAATCCAAAAACTCGAGAATGACTACGTATATGAAGTTGATGTTTTGCACAAAGGTTCTTTATCATATTATCTTGGTTAAGTTCGTTATTGGAGATTATTTGTTCAGTAATAATTATAAAATCCTAAAAAAACCATTTTAATTTTCCCCCATAAGAATAACATTAGGAGCTACCTTCTTCTTCTTTTTTTTTGTTTACATTTTACGACCAACAACTTTGTTGTGAATTCTAGAGACCAAAGAGACCGAAGTGAATTCTATTATTTATTTCATCCATGGAGTAGACAGTGTAGGTATATTATATTAGTCAATGGTTTTATATGCATAATAAATCTTTAAATTATAATTATTAAAAAAAAATATTCATCTGAGGAAATAAATATGGGATTTAAAAATATCCACTCAAATGTATTATAATCGATAAAAATATTTTAGGTATTTACATGTTTTAACTTTTTACATGTGTTTATGTTGTTTGTTTAGTAGGCTTGAATTAAGACCTTACCTTAGTCCTTGGGCCAAACTTCATCACTTGGGTGGCATGATGGATTTCTAAAAATAAGTGGTGTTAACATTGTCTTGAGCTTTGTATATTATTAATTTTCAATATTATTGTTATAGCATACTATTAAATGCCTATGCCAATCAGATTTTTCTTAAAGAGACATTTTTTCTAACCATAACATGGTGTCTTTTTTCTTATCGTCGTCACGTCGTCGTCGTCGGTTCGGTTTAGTGATGGGAGAATCGAATACTTTAAAGAATCGAATACAGTGAATTCGTAGCCTCCCCTGTATTCGAATACTTTTACGAATACTTGTATTCGAACGCCTTTGATTATGCAAAGCATGGAAAATGAGTGTGTAATTCTGTTTTCATAATGCAACCGTTCTTTTGGCCACTGTTATTTCGTTTTACAGTAATTTAATTCATTAATATAATTTATTCAATGTAATTTTAAATTATATGATTTTTAAAAGGTAAATTTATTTTAACTTATAATTATTTCATGGTCAGTTACAGTCTTTATTATTAATGTATTATTTTATATTATATTAACTAATTAATATCTTTAATAATATGTCTTATTCATTTGTATGGATAATTTACATCAGATATGCATGTTATTTTGCCATGTAACTACATAAATCGGTTGTAGTTATAATAAATTCTATTCAATTGCCCTCTACCAGTAGTAACCTAATATTTGAAATATCCAATATATTCTAAATGTTAACGATTAATATGTAAATTATAGGGCTAATGGTAAAATTATAACGAATAGATGAAAACAAATGCTGCAGTAAAAACATTAAATAGGTACTCTTACGAATGCTACGGATTCGTAAGATATTCAAAAGGGAATTCAGTAGTTGAAAAAGTGTTGAATACATTTTTGAATTCCCCGAATTCGCTTTCTAGATTCAAGAAATCCTGCAAAATCTGAGGTCAAGAGTATTCACAAAAAAGTATTCGTACGAATCTGAAGTATTCGAATCTACGAATACTCGGGCTGTATTCGAATACTATTCGATTCTGTATTCGATTCTCCCATCACTAGTTCGGTTGTGTTTTCTTTTCTTTGTTGTGTTTTCTCTGTTGGTTCTTGGCTAGGTGTTGTTTTGTTGGTTTTTGGGTGCTGTAATATAAAATAGTGGAAGATTTTTGGGGTACAGTTTCTTAACTGGGCTACGCTATTATTGATTGAAACTAGCCTACCTATCGATTCGATTAGTAAACCTTCTTGCGATTTTGTTCACCCATGTCAATGGCAAACACTAGATCTAGGCTGGCATGGCCATTGATTGGTTACCCTAAGCAAGGAAGTAACTTTAATTAATCACTGTGTCTGGTTAGGCCTATGTGTTTAAAATATCAATCGTCATTGTTGAGATATGATCTTTCAAGTGTTATTTTGAAACTAGGCCTATAAACGTTATCCGGCAGGGCCTAGGCCTAATTATAAGCTAAGTAAACTTAGATACACTAACAAATTAGGCCTAAAAGTTATCAAGTGTAACTGACAGAGTGTTCCCTATCAAGTTAGAGCCTGCAATCAAAGGTAATAACCTTGGCCTTTTCTACAGTCTTATTTAATTTAAGTTAAAAGGACCTAGGCCTAAGTTAAGTTAATAGATAAATTTCTTATAAACTTAAACTTGGAGAAGTAAGCCTATCTGTGGCCTTAAGCCTGGTTTTTCTAGGCGCGGAGTGTGGAAAAGTGATTAGCAACACTTAATAATTAACAACGATGCACTTCTAGGTAAACAGTTAAGTTAACATTAACTTAAACTTAAATTACCGTACTTTAAGAGGCCTACCTAAGGTAAGAGGAGTCTATATATAAGGTTACATTTCTTTACCTTGATCGCCAAGTGATCCATGTACCGTAAGTCCAAAAACAGGACTACGCACGTTTCGACATCGTCACAACACGATAAGCGTCATTGTAAAATCGTACAAAAACTTTCTAAACCATATGGTCACAGTCTTTCCGACACAAAAAACACATTAGGTACCGGTAGGCCTACCAAAATACACTTAAAAGTAACTTAGGCCTACTAACTTAACTAACTTGTGGTAAGGCGACAGATCTGTGGAAGCCTCAGCTTGCGAGCAGAGATCTGTCGTATTACCACAAATTAGTTAGTAACTTAGGCCTACTTTTAAATGTATTTTTGTTGCTCGGCAGTCGAGCCTCGGCATGCGAGCTTAGTTAGAAGCCTACTTTTAAATGTATTTTTGTACCGGTAATGTGATTTTTGTGTGTGTCGGAAAGACTGTGACGTGACCATATGGTTTAGAAAGTTTTTGTACGATTTGACAATGACACTTTGACGTCGAAATGCGCGTAATCCTATTTTTGGACAGAAAACAACATACAACATGAAGAGGAGTCTGTGTATTGCACTCCGTTTCTGTGCCTAACTTAGGAAACTCCGGCTTATCAGTTTGCAGTAAAGTTTCCATAATTACTGTTCTAAAGCCTAAGTTAGGCTTGAAGCATTCATAGCTCAATCAGAATCTATAAATTGATTCATGTGACAGATTGTTCTAAAAGTCAGTTAGGCCCTAACCTCAGAATTTCTCATTTAGTATGCCTAGGCATGGGTGCAGTGCCGGTAAAACCTGCAATATTTTATAAAATTAATAATATATCGATTATGGTTCGGTTCGATGAATTTTAATAACTTAACTTAACTTAAACCACAGAAAATATACTACTATAACCCAGAATGCCAACCGCATGGTAAAAAGCGTTAAGTACTTTGAGAGAGCTTTGCCTGTCAGTTCGTAGGCAGCGCCACCAGCGTTGCAATGCACTCAGCATAGCAACGCTGGTGGCGCTGCCTACGAATTGACAGGCAAAGCTCTCTCAAAGTAGGGTTGACGCTTTTTACCATGCGGTTGGCATTCTGGGTTATAGTAGTAGGCTATATTTTCTGTGCTTAAACTTACTTAGGCCTACTTAGGTCTAACCCAATAACAAGCAAAAATGATCCAATTTTGATGAAATTTGGTGTAAACGTGTCAACCTAAATTTATTCTAATGGGTTCGCA